TGCTTGGGTTTGAGAGTAATCAAGAAATCGTTACAACTGTTTGCGATCTCTTTCTTGGTTTCATTTACTGCCCAGCGCTTTTATTTCAAATTGATTTCAATGTTCCATTATTTGCATTACCCTCACTGCTGTTTTCAGATTGAGGAGTTGAAATACCAACATAGGGACCGATTCGCCTTGCATGTACCTGCCAAAAATTTTAAAGCCGTTTCTCACAACTGTGATGTACGTGCCTTTCACAACTGTCACGTACGTGCTGATTCTTTGAGTGATATTCTCTCCTCTATCAGAGAGGCCCCTTGTTATATTTCTTAACTTCCTAATTAGGTTGTTTTTTATTTCATGTGTTTATGTTTGCTTTTATTCTCAATGCCTAGTTGTTTGAAACTATCGTAATTTAATTTTTTACTTCGGTTATTTACATTCGCTTCAGTTATATATTTTTCTTTATTGTTCGAGCCGACATGTAATTGGAACTATTCTCTGTTGGCCAGTAAATGCTTTGTTTGTGTTTGTTTGATCTCAACCCAAACCATCGCCTGTTGTAACTGCGCTTACCCTGTATCATAACAGATTTATTGAATATTACAAATTCAATCCCACTTCTGATATTGTAAACCAATGAATGGATACTTACGTATTTTATTATATGTATAGTTCTACGCATCTACGATTATTATTCCATGCCGACCGTGACCCTAACCTGAATCACCCCTCCCCGCCCATGCGTATCGCTACCCCGCTTCAATGGGGTAGCCCTTCATTCAACACCGCACTCGTCTAATCACTTTCAGTACACGTACGAACTTTGTTTCAATCATGTTCTCATCGTTCCGGCTCCAAAATCCGTCGGTCTGTTTGCGTATATTCACATTCGAGTTAACGCAATTTCGGAAATTCGGGTACCTCGAGGTGATGGGTTAACCTTGTTTTCGGTGAGCACGTGGCTGCGCGAGAGCTTGCGATCGATATCAGCGGGAGAAAGTGTGTAGTTGAACAGTGTTGACAACCTCGTGCTGCAGTTTTACTGATTGGGTCAATGAATTGATTGATTGGGATTTTTAATGGATGTCAGCTGTTTGGATTACGTTGTTTGATTTTGTTTGTGAGCTTTCACAGACAATCTTTGATTTTGACAGGAGACTGCATTAGATCTACGTTGAATGCAGAGCTTTAGGTCATGATTTAAATTGATTTAAAAAGTCAGCTAATATGTTCTTAGGACACGTAAGCATGATATCAAAAGCGTGATGTGAAATCTGAAACTGGTGCGATAAGTTTAAAGCTTTCATGCACGATTATAAGCAAGGGTTCTTCAGAACACAAGAGGTACTGAAGCACCCAAAGGAAAACTCGACGTTTACGTTACTAAGATTCAGGTTATACTTTTGATGAGATGCATAGTGTCATTATCTCAGTAAGGTTTTTGATTCCACAGAAATTTGTGTCTGATTTGTGATGAAAGGCGAGCTTTAGTTACTTTTGTGTAGGATATACTCAAAGCAATAGGAAGACGAGATCAGCTTGCCAAGCTTTTCTCTACAGTTGCGCAGAACCTCATAGACAAGAAGGAAAATTAAAATGCTGCTGTGAGGATAGAAACTCTGCATCTTAACATAAATAAAAATCGGATTCCATCCCATATAGATCAATCTACATCATTTTGTGTTACATGATGAGATACAAGCTGATGACATCTTATGATGAGTCATACCTTTACGGAGAGCGAAAAATGCGTACAAGCCTGGTAAACAATAATGCGATAATTGTTTTGATCCACATCCAGATATGACGTAATATGATTTTTTTTAATGTTGAAGAAATAACCTCAATATCAGCATTGAAATTTTTCGTAACAGACATGATGAGATAAGAATCACGTTATAACTTTTTGTTGCTGTTCTAACATACTCCTGTATCTTATGTTACTTTGTAAATCAAACTATTTCTTCTCCACATCTCCTTGTGTGCATTATAGATATCTCATTTATTATTTTAGTTTTTAACTACCGATCTTGATCTTTCCAATCCTCAACAAGAATTCTTACTGACTTCATGTTCTACCTTTTGTTCTGTCATTCCTCTTAAGTCGACTCTGCATCATTTTGTTATTCCTATAGCTTCTGCTAGTGATTTCCACTCATTCTTGAAACCTATCCTGATGTTGTTTCATTTGTGCCTGTCAAAATCTTTTCCGTATTCTGATGAACTTTGTATCAATTTTATATTATTATTTAGTAGTTATTTCAGTTCAAAACGTTTTACGTGTTTGATTCCATTTCTTTTCTGGGCTATTTAGGTTATTATAAATCTAAAACATTTGCAAACCTTTAGTTCATTATGCGGTTCAGAAAACAATTTAAGCTACAGTAATAAATATAACCACGCGACATAATAACCTTACACAATACAAGATCTGCGAGACGCGCTAACTGATTCATAGATTTTTGTTGTGTTCCTAATAAGTAATCAATCTTTATTGTCAATAAACATCAACTTCGTACTTAAAATTAAAGATTCGTTATATGACAAAGGCTTAATCAATTTTATTGCTGTTTTACAACCGTTGTAGATATGATGTAGGCTCCTGTAATTTTCAAGAATACACGGTACTGATACCGTATGGTACAATCTGTAAAACCTTGGCTTTACTGACGTGGGGTACGACTGCTAATAACAAAGTTCTATAGGACCATAAAACTGAGCAAGTATTTCGGGTAGCTATCATTTTAGAACATAGAATCGTAGATAAATGGTACAAACAGTACATACAGGGTGGCGCATCGAAAACGAAACAGACGCATTTACTGGCAGCTCAGTTTTTTTTTTGGAAAACGCTCAGACTTGTCGATTTTGTTTTCGAGGGGGACACAAGGTTGACAAAGAATCACGTTAGCACGTGCAGCCCCCTACGCGGGGATGACACCACCCCCAAAATCTTAAATGGAAAGGGGGGTCGAGTAATACCTTATTTTAAAGGTCTTTCAATTACCTTTATAATATAAAATTAATGTACTTCAGTTCAGTAGTTTTGAAGATTTATCGATTTAAAGCTTAAATAAAACTAATACATCATCATTAGTGGAGATCAATACATTTGGCAGCAAAGTAATTTATAAATGAAGAATGAACTGACCCGTTAGGCAAGTAAATGTTGAAAATGGCCACCATGACTCTCCATGCAATAATAAAGATTTTGCTAAAAACGTTGCCACACATTTTGCAATATTTGAGGAGTAATTTGAAGGCACTCAATCACAATTCTTTGTCGTATGTATTCTAATGATGTTGGCTGAGTAGCATAGATTTTGCTTTTTAAATGACTCCACATAAAGCAATCCAAAGGTGATAAATCTGGAGATCTTGGGGGCCATTCAATGGCACCTCTTCTACCAATCCATCGATATGGAAACGTCCGATCTAAATATTGTCGAACACGTAATGCGTAATGTGGTGGAGCACCATCCTGTTGGAACATCAATCTATTGGCAATGTACCGCCGATCATTCTGATTTTCAATTATGGCTGTTAATGCAGGATCTATGGCGTTTTCCAGTAATTCCAAATATATTTCACCTGTCAAATTTCCAGGTAAGAAAAAAGGACCAACTAAATGATCTCAAAAATACCAGCCCAAACGTTTAATTTTTGTGGCTGCTGTGTATGAACCTCATGATAAATTCTGGGATCAGAATCGGACCAATATCGGCAGTTATGACGATTTACTAGGCCATTTAAGAAAAATGAACATTCGTCGGAAAAGCATGTGTTGAATAGAAAATGTTCATCGTATATAATTCGTTCACTCATATCTTCACAAAATTGTAGTCGCCGATCAAAATCGTCTGCATTAAGTTCTTGTACCAGGTGAATTTTATACGGATAAAGACTATGGGCCTTTAGAATCCGTTGGACAGTATGTCGACTAACACCACACACAGTCTCCAATTTGCGGGTACTTACGTAGGATCTACATAAACTTGCCCTAAAACCCCCACTTCTATTGCTTCGTTCCTTATGGGATTATCAATGTTGCGTTTTTTATTGGCGACTGACCCAGTTTCTCGAAATTTAGCTACAAGTTCTATAACATATTTTCGATGCACGTTACTGTTCTCATGTCGCTCATTAAATATTTCTGCTGTTCTATTAGCGCACTGATTATTTCCGAAAAATATTTAGATAATTTCAACTCTTTCTGCTGTACGATATACCATGGTTAATTTATGTAATAAAGCGTTACAAGTTATTTTAGCAACAAAGTTTGGTCAAATCAATCGCAAACTATGTACTAGATTCCTATTTAAAATAAGTACGAGATATTTCCTTATCTTTCTTCAAGAAATAACTTTTTTGCCACAAAAAAACGTTCCAATAGCTATTTTCAGTAACAAAATGATAAACAAACCATGGGCGTAGTGTAGAAAAGCATTTACTTATTAAGTAAATTCTTTTAGTCAAATTTCTTCTGAAAGTAGTACAAACTAATCTGACCCTTTAAGCTTTCAAAACTACTGAACTGAAGCTCATGTATTTTGCATCATTATAAAGGGATTTGAAAGACCCCCCTTTCCATTTAAGATTTTAGGGTTGGTGTCATCGCCCAGGGGGCTGCACGGGTTAACGTGATTTTTTGCCAAACTTGTGTCCCCCTCGAAAACAAAATCGACGGGTCTGAGCGTTTGTCCAAAAGAAACTGAGCTGTTTCGTTTTCGATGCGTCACCCTGTATATGCGATGGAATGCTAAAATTAATTTTTTATGACAGATACTCTGGAAAAGGCCTTAGTAATACTCTACTTGATTGTTTGTAAACCTGAGAACCTATTTAAAATCACACGTAGACATTCTGTAAACTACTGCTGTGATCCAAAATTCTTTGGAGATTGGAAACGTAATTCAAACAGTTGCCTTATCTATAGCAAAGCCTGTTCACACAAAAAGTGATGAAGAAAACTAAAAAAGTTTCTCCACTGGACTGCTCAATGGACTAACACCAACATGAAAAAATCGGAGCCAAGGAAACCATCAGAAAAAAAACAGAGCCCACATTGCCTCCCGGATATTCCCCTACCCACACCTCCGCCTATGGCAAACATCATGGTGACTTCAAGATTTGATCTCCCTACACGTGGAGGTTGTGGATACCGCAGGATTCTGAGCTCCAGGAGCAGCGATTTTCGGTCTCCAATGTTCAATAGACATACCTTTGACTATAGGAGTCCACTACTCCCTACTTGGAACCCTGGGAGTTTAATAGATGGCCTAGGGTTATCACCAATGATGAGGCACAAGACGTATGAGAGACAAGAGGACAGATCCAGGTCTAGCATGGACCTCAGCAGAGACCATAGAGGTAACAGGAGTGAGGACGTTAGAAGCAAGTACCTTTCAAAGGATTCTTTGTTATTGGAAGAGTTAGAGGAAGTTAAGAAACTTTCGGAAGAGCTCGAGTCCAAGTGCAATACTACTTCCAACATCTCAGAGCTATCTCCTGAGTATCAGAACATCTTCTACAATGACCACTACATTTCTGATATTGATGAGAATGAAGAGATAAAAGAGTTTGTTAGCGGTTACGTATGTCCTGAGAGGAGATACTCAGATCACTCTGACAAAATGTCGTGCCACAGTAGAGTGTATAGTTCGTGTAGCACCTTGCCTTCGACAGCTCAATTGAAGGAGAGGCAGAAAAATGACAGGATGAGAAGTTATGGAAGTAGCAGTTCTATGAAAAGTTCGGATTATTATAGTATTTGCACGCCTTTGTTTAGGAGTGGAGGAGATTTGCGTGAAGATGTGGGAAACTGCGTGATGAAGAATCCTCAGAAACCATTGGTGAAACTGGCAAAAATCAGGTGAGAAATTTAAATAAACTTTCAAATTCTGCAAATGATTTGATTTAGCATCATCATAGCATACAGAAGGTCACTAAAATATATGAGATCACAAATTCTGTGGGCTTTAACCCTACTTTAACTATAAAATACGCCTGATATTCGCATTTTGACTATATCTTGGTATAGGATTTTGGTACAAGATTCTTTAACTGATATTACTTTTTTTGTTGTCAATATTAACATAAAATTACCAGTATATAATTGTTTTTTAGGAAATAGCACAATTCTTGACTAAATCGACACTTTATAGCTGAATATGCGAACATGCGAAAGTATGTATGAATGTTTGTATGCTCCGTTTTCACGCCAAAACGGCTGAACCGATTTCGCTGAATCGATTTCGCTGAATTTTGGCGTTGAAGCTTAGAGATGGACATGGTTAGCTTTTATTGCGAAAATAAAACTTTAGAGTTGAAATAGGGGGTAAAAGTGACTCTTGCTCCTTCAATTACGGGTACAAATATGGTTGTCTCTAATACAGTTCTTTGATACGAGGTCTGTAAATTAAGTGATGAGACTGCCAGCGTAGCGTTCAATCTGGCAGCACTGGAGGTACCGGACTTGGAGGGGAGACAGCCATTTGGTTGTCAGTAGCAATTTTTTTGCAAAACAGTGTTTTCTATTCTGTTCTAAGAATTGGTGACATCAATTTCAAGCAACAGTGTGCTATCAGGTTTTGCTTCACACTTGGGCACAGCGCAAAAGCAGGCTTACGGAGACAGTTTTTGGTCAAGAGCCCAGGCTTTTCAGTGTTTAAGGCATTTTCAGAAGGGAGAGATTCGAGCGAAGATAAATCACGAAGTGGAAGGCCTTCATATCCAAGAACCGTTGAAAATATCGACAGAATCCGAGATCTTGTGGGTTTTGATAAATGATCGGGCAAGAGCTACATTTGACTCACACCCCCGTTCATCAGATCAAGAACAACTGGGTGTTGAATTCCGATAATGCTCCTCGTCACACAGCAATGTTAGTAGACGAATTTTTTCCAGTAAAAACATTCCTGTGGCTCCTCAGCCTCCTTACTCACCTGTCTTGCGTCCTTATGACTTTTTGCTCTTTTGCGGGAAATCATTTTGTGACAGTTGAAAACATTCAAAGGGCTTGTAACCTACATTCTGAAGGCTACTCCAGTGTCGGAGTTCCAGCACTGCTATTGGGAGTGGAAGAACCGTCCCTGGCGCCGTGTTTTCAGAAGGAAGTCATTTTGAATGTGACAATACAAAATTATAATTATATTACAATAAAAAAATTAACAAGAAGATCTGTCTTATCCCTTAATTTGCAGACCTCGTATAATGTAAGTGAGCAGGTACAAAAAAATTTTGGAAATTATATCCCTAAGGGGCGAAGTGGAGGCTAATATTCTTGAAGCTGAAGAACCTTGAATATTTCAAATAGGACCAGCCTATAAGAAAGAATTTGGCTTATAATTTCATATTTAAAATAAAACAAAATTAACAAAGAGGTCCAGAAATTATATCCTAAAAATGGGGTTGAATATTTCTACAGGCAACGTTATCACTGTCCAAGTTAAGTTTATCGAAATGTATGTCGCAAACTATTCGACTTATGAGCCTGAAAATCAGCAGGGTAGTACTTTTTGGGCGGGATATATCAGCTCTGATCTGCTTTCCAGTGTCCCGGTTGAGTTACTCTGAGTAACTCGGCGTAACTCAGTACTGTTCAGCACCAATACCGTTCCACTGTTTGTTGTATTCTCATGCAATGTTTCTGGACCAGTATCATTCTCAAACCAAAAACCAGCTCAGAACGGATTTTGCGAATTAAGTGGGGTTAAGGGCAATTTGACATATGAATAAGAAATTTGGTAGAGAAGTAGTTCTAGGACAGGAAATACTAGCTGAGAACGGAATTTACGTTAGGGCTGATATGCGTATATAAGAGCCCTAGAGATTCACTCACATTAGTCACGGAATCTTGGCAGAAACGTAGCTTATGAACAGGACATGTCAGCTAGGAATGGACTTTGCGACAGTGTATGATGAAAGTGGGATAGGGCATTCACAGCTTTGTATGAAGGCCCTTTGTACAAAAAACCTTGATTTACATAAAAAAGGTAGTTTTAGATAGCTTAAAATTATTTGGATCTTTCTGCTAGGTATCTAATGTTGGCAATAATGGGGTTCTTTAGGGTAGATTTGAACTAAGGATGGATATTTGTCACTTGGGAGAAAAGGGGTTTAAGGACTGTCACAGTTTTATACATATTTGGTTTTTGCAACTGGAGACTAGACACTTAATTTCACAATGTGAAGTTTGGTTTTATGTGTATTAACCTTAAAATTTTAGTTAATTTAACAATTTCATGCAAAGTCGTGGGTAACAGCTAGTCAGCTATGATATAAAAGTGTGTTCATCCATTTCCATCAAGGTATGAAAGATTTTCTAAAATTTCAACTTATACTCATTTATCTAATGTACCTGTAGCATTTAACAGAATACTGGAGTAGATAAATCTGAATCCAAAAAATGCAACTTGTTTTAAATCGCTCAGAGTGGCGGAGATAACTGAACTTTGCTATCTTTGCTCACGGAAGGTTTGTCGATTCGTGGCTCGTTAATGATTTTTATGGATCCATTAAGGGAGCTCAATAAAATTTCGGCATGCTTTTATCGGCCTACTTGCTAGTTTTATTGAGGAAAAGTTTATTGACGTTAACTCAGGCCCGTCCGCAGGTAGTAAAATCCTTGGCAGTATTATCAATCAAGTTCTTCGCCTGATGAGCAAGTGAAGTAATATGTGATACTATTGTAGTAAGCCTGGATTCCTACCTCCCCAGATTTTGTTTCAAGTATCCAGCAAGATGTAAGTACACTGGACCCCCAGACGTCTCCCTAGCAATGTAACTGGCAAAAATAAATTGTGCTAACGAACTTTAATGTAAACTGCAATTATTGAGGCATTTTTACCCGAGGGTCCCAGAAGTACGGTAACGTTTTTCGCGCGTGGGTGTGTATCTACCAGTATTTAAGTAAAAAATTTCATTTTACGAGATACAGGCCAAGCGTATTGATGAATTTTAACATATGAGTTGTCTCTAGATTTGTTTTGACAGCCCGAGTGACAATGGATATATTAAAATCTTGTAATATCAGAGTAGCCGATATTCAGCAACAATTTGGAAATTTCTGTCACGGACTACAGACCAAATGACTTGATGGACATTTGATGTGCCCTTAGATTCATCGTTATAGCACAGATAAAAATTCATTTTTTTCAGTTACTGAAGTCGGACTTTTTGTATTTTTTAAAAGTGTACTTATTTTTTAGATCACACTGCTTCCCTTGACTATAGGATAAAATGTGAGACTTACCTCGGATTGTAAAACTTTTGCGAGCGCTTTGCACTTGCATAAAACTCAAATATGTGAATAGTCCTACGTCCATTCAAAAACGTTTTTTTTTATAAAATGATATTGCATAATTTGATAGACAAGCGCTTTCTATTCTATAATTATTATCTCTATACCTAATAATATTATATACTAGCTGACCCGACAGACGTTGTCCTATCTTAGATATGAACTAGAATGAATAATAAAAGGGTAAATATATGGAATATTGGATTATATTGCCGCCATGTGACTAGCAAAATACGTTGGCAGCACTGTCCTACCCCCATCAACTTACCTTGAAAATAAGCACAAAATTATGTGGAATGAATCACGTTGTTATCATGTGGTTTTCATGGTGATATATCTACATGTTTTTCTGGCCAAATGAAACCACATTCAGAAATCACTCTACTGACATTTTGGTCATTACGGTGACCTTCTTCAAAGTACAACATATTTCATATTTGCGAGGGTTGCCTCAAAACTAAGGTTCCCACATTTTTTTCAGGCACAAGGAATTTTTTATGTCAAAAACGAATATATTATTGGAAACATTGATCATTAAGCTATGTTTCTACATAGTTAGTTGCCATTCTTTCTAAGCATTTTTTAGACTCTTCCACTTGCGCAGTTGCAGAACCGTCCTGTGACAGTACTGAATTTAGAACCCGAAAATAGCTATCGTGTTGCTGGATATGAGGCTGGCCCATTTCTGGTAACGAATGAATGTATTGACTCTGGGGTGGTACCAATGGAGTCAATTTGATACTTTTACTGACGCAACATAATCCAGGGGCTTTATTTTTAAACTTGAATGTCTTGCATTGTGGACTCACAACGTTCACTGGTCCAATAGCAACGATTTGTTGTGAACTGAAATCGATTGCCAAGTCATTCGATCCCGTTCAACTTCATTTCTCGCTTCTCGTTGGTCGTCAGCTTGACTTGTTAGTATATATCTTTGGCTTGCAGCATTGCGAGTTCTGCGACCTAGGTTGGTACGTATTGGTGGCATTTTGAAGAATCCCAATTTTAGTATGAGGCTTGGGCGAACTAACTTCCACCCTATGATTATTTTTGAACAAATTGTTCTCAAAAAACTGACTCAACAAACTGAAAACTGGATAAAATGGACTGTGCACTACTATTAAAATAGAACAATATTTTTTCATCAATAAACACTGTTAAACGATAATATAAATTTGCGGCGTGCGAGCTGTCAGGTTCAATATGATAGAGTAGTGCAAGTCAAAAAAGCAAGAGAAACGTGTTTACATCTGCCATTTTTATTCATCGAGTTAATTGACAAAGAACAATTAGGCAACACTACAGTTTCTTTTGAAGGGGTCATCACAAAGTATGGATGGTAAAGAAAGAAAGTCCAACAACAAAAGCACTGTAGTTTCATAAGCAATTTTCTCTCACATAGCTAAATGTCAATAGCTGTTGAAATGGTGGAGAGGAGTGCCTGTCTGTTTTAGTACTTGAGATATTTCTTCTGCTGTTCGTGATCCATGCTCAAGCAACTGACAAACGCGCGTAGCTTAAATAATCATTAGGTTCTCAATGATTTAAAAATTTTCTACGCAATTTTCGATTTTT